AGCATTTCAGGGAGAGTGCACTAAAAGCCAAATAAAGAAGGTGATTGTGTGAAAGCATAAAAGGAAGAGGAAGGTGCAGTGGAGGTTAAGGGATGGAAAGAAGAGATGATTTATGGTGGAAGAAAGTGGTGGAGAGGAAGGAGTGTGTGAGGGAGAGGCGAGAGACATAAGATCTTAAAGCATTTGTTTGTATATGTTAAAGTAGTAACCTGAAAAGCTGTTTTTCCCAGGTGCTCTACATACCTTTGACTTGAATGTTAATGGAACTGAAGATAAACAGTTAGTTGTTACTCTGCCAGCAGAACTCAGTCTGCCACAGAGATTTCCCAGGAGAGCCAAGCAGACCTTAGCACCCGCTTTCCTGTGTACAGTGAAGAGGTGGCCTCTGAACAGCCCCGCAGCTGTTTGGCTTCCCAGTAGAGTGATTGTGTCTTGGGCCTCTATTAAATGTGTGCAGGCAGACTCTGCCTGGGCCATTGGGGCTGCTCCCACCTGGCTATTCCTGCCCACAGGAAGAGCTGTTCAGTTAAATTTTTTGAGGAGCAGTGCACAGCACTGGGAGAGGATTCATTATCTTTTTTATCATGTGGTGGTATAAGGCCAGTGGTGATGTGTCTGAAGGCCAGTTCAGCTCTCTGGAGAACTGTAAGTGCTTGCTAAGGCAGAAGGGGCAACTCTGATGTGCTGCTGGGCAGTTTGTTGCTGATGGGATCACTGGTGTCATGTAACATGTGTGCTTCTGCTCATCTTTCTGCAGGAACGCAGCTTTGATTGTAAGATCTGTGGCAAGAGTTTTAAGAGATCTTCTGTCCAACCACCTGCTCATCTACTCGGACACCCGACCCTATCCGTGCCAGTACTGTGGGAAGCGGTTCCACCACAAATCTGATATGAAGAAACACACCTTCATTCACACAGGTCAGCCCTGCAACTGCTGGTGTTCAGCCCCAGCATGAGGGCAGAGGTTTCTCTGCAGCAATCCATTCCTCCTCAACTGGGACAATACACACACATCTCCCTGTGCTTCTCACTGTCCCACTGCTGTTCATGCTATCTGAGCTGTACTTGGGCAAAGGAGGGTGACTTGAACATGCTTTAATGAACAGCAGCTGCAAAACAACCCAAATCCTAGCAATCCAATCAGTGTTCTCTTAATAGGATCCACCAATGTTTATTCAAAGGGCTTTTGTGTAAGATGATTTGTAGAGTATTATATTCGTGTAGCCTTGATTTACA